CGGTTTTGCTGATTTGTTTTACGTAGTTGTCATTATTGGTTTGAGAAAATATTCTTTTAACTTGTTATAAAAGTCAAACTCATCTGAAGCTCACTRGATGAAGGGATGTGAGTTTGCAGCAGGAGCGCGTGGACGCTTTCTATTCGCTCACAGCTTTGGGAGAAAGGTTGCTAAGTAACTGTGCAGCGTTCCATTCTGGGGGCTGTAGTTCAAAGAAAGACGCACGCGCTTCACTAATAAGAACTATTTTCGCATGTGAAACTACATATCCCAGAATGCATGTGATCAGATAAGTCCTCTCACGTGACACTGGATACCTCAGTGAGCTGCAGAGCTACAATAACAAAGCGCTCGTTTATTTGCATGTCAGAGATTTTAGCCATTAAAAAAAGAAACTTATAAAGTAATTTCAGGATGAGGCTGCAGTGTTTAGTCTGGGCTCTGTGGCTCGGAGTCGGTGTTTACGCGGGAGGAAAATACTCTCGGGAAGTCAACGATCCTAAACCGAGTGATGGCGACAAGCAAGAAGTGGAGTTCAGGATAGCTAAAGTCAACCAGGTGTGGGAGAAAGCTAAACGGGTACGTATGACAGCAAAGATGCTTTCAATCTTTTGCTGATAGCAAAAACAGCGGCTTGAATGAGAAAACCCCTGTTCTAATACAGTATTTATTCTTCTGGTAAAACTGATTAAATCATGCATAAAAATGATTTTAAGTTGATTACATAATTRAAATCGTGCTAATATTTAGCATTTACTAACTGCTTTTTAGAAATATGGTAGCAAACGTGCTGCTAACCCAGTCAAATCTGTTCAATTTRCAATTATTTGTTTGGAGCATTTGATTTATCATAAAGTAAAGGTGAAGACAACGGCATTGGTGTTATTAGGAAAGCAATTTTTGTTTTTCTACCTGGGAAGTGTTATGCAAGAAAAAACTAACCTGTGCAACGGTTCACCCCAAGGTCAGACCATGCAGTGCTCAGATATGAGTTGCATCTCAGCCTCTGAAGTTATGCTAAATTGTTAACTTTATTATGATTAATTTAGAGAGAGGTGGAAAATAAATGGCTTGTTTGAAATAGTGGTCAGAAAAAATATATAATTTTTTCTTCTTAACATCTAGACTCTTTMATAGCTTATGCTAAACCACATTTGTTGAGATAAAAAATAAACGCAACACCTTATCGGTCCAAATGTCTCAGTTGTTAAGCATGGTGGTGGAAGGTTGGTGATTTGGGCTTAGACCTGCAGCTGTGAACTCCTCTTGAGACCTGAGCTGTAGTCTGGACTGCTTTTTAAAAACCTAAAAAAGCTATCTGGATTTTTAGGACCTTGTCGACATAAACATCAAATGAGCAAAAATCAAAACATAAAAGGACATAAAGGACAACAGGTCTGAGCTGAACTGATTAAAACATTATTGTGCAGGGGAGACAGTGTCCACATATGAGGACGCAGGTCTTGGGAGCGTATACCGAGGTCGTTTAGAGTTAAATGTGAATTTATCTGTTCAACAGCTGAAGCCTGACCCAAGCTTGGTCCTGCAAGAATCCAGTTCTTCCAAGTACGTGATCAMACCTTCAACCAAACAGATGAAAAAGTCACGAGGTTTGAAAAGATCCAGACAAAGTCCAGACCTTAACCCAGTTAATAAGTGGTGAGACTTTTAAGAGATTTGTGAATGAATGTCTACAAGCTTCAATAAACTGAAGCAGTTCAAAAACAAGAAGTGAAAATAAGCAAAAGACTAAATTCATTAAATTATCGAATAAATATATATTATAAATACAAAATATGGACTGTACTTGAATTTTCATACCCAGTTGAAAAAATATGTTTTGTTTTTCACTGAACAAATGTTAATACAGTGATCTGATCATGCTTATCTAAGGTTTTATTGACTACATTTCTGTTTTAGTTCTGATACATTAAACCTTAGAATTTAGAGGTGATGTTTTTACTTTTTATTTATTATCATTATTAKATATTTTTAACATTTTTTAATTATACTTTGAGCAAACTGGGAAAGAGCTTAATCACGAGAGTTTCGTCTGGATGTAAGTTGGTGATATAGCTACATAAGACTGAATAACTTTAATGTTAAACTCTATAAAATAGCAAAAATGCAGGACTCAACCTGAAAATTAACYGCCAAGGTATCAGACAGAAAACAAATATCTGTCACCCATTGCTTTGTCATTTGCTGCCTCTTACAGATTGAGAAGTCAATAAAAATGGTGCCAATTGAGCAAGCTTACCTTCTGTTATTTATTAATATTTTTTTTCAAACGAACTCTGTGCTTTCTGCTCGTTTCGCTCCGACAGATGCAGCTGCCTCYGGTCCGGCAGGCTGAGCTGCACAGCGACCTAAAGATCCAGGAGAAAGATGAGCTGCAGTGGAAGAAAATGAAGGTGGAAGGCCTGGACGAAAACGGGGAGAAGGAAGCCCAGCTGAGACGCAACTTTAATGGTGAGGCAGTGTTCSGCCTCTTTCAGGCAGGAACCGTTGTGTCCTCACTTCAGCTGCTGCAGTTTGTAAAACAAGTTCAAACTCTGAAATGCTGCCCGTCAACAAATAGCAACAAATTCCTAAAACAGTAGGTGGTTTTTAAACTAGAACATCTGTTAAAAGGYTATGCAAATCCTATGAGTGAGCCCGTAAAATGTGAATAAAAAATGTGAAATTATAATTTGTTTAGTGATTTTTGTTATGAGACAATAATGCAAAAGACTCAGTGTTTTGCTTGTTGTATTGAGGGATGCATCGGACTGTTTAAAGGTTAAGAGAGCGAAGATTCTGCCAAGTCTGGAAATTCATTAGCGTTGCCATTTAAAGCTTTGGAGAGCTCTGCTGTGACGGATGATATGGTTTTAATTTGGTGCACAGAATGTGAATGAAATGAACAATGTTGGACTTTTGGTTAAAGCTTTAAAAACTAAAAAGGATTAAAAATCACAAACTTGATTTCAGAAATGAGACTGTTGCGAGATGGATGGATAATTGAAAGTAAATTATAGTAGTTGGATAATTTCTCACATTTCTTTTTAAAAATCAGAAATAAAACCTAAAACTGGTGGCTCATTACTGTCCAGAGATGGTGCTGATTGGGACAGAATAGTGAGAGGTTTGCTGCAGAACAAATTCAAACTTTAAATATGTGTCGAAACAGAGTTAAAGCAAAAAATGTGCACCGAATGCAAAGAGTGTGAAGGTTAATTAGCTTTAATTATATTAACTGATGGTACTTATCATTTCCTCACAGTAGTTAGCGTGAACATGAACCGTGAATGATTTAGACACGTTACCRAAAGAAAATTGAATGTTCATCTAAATCGTGGTTGTTTTACAATCTGTTCACCTCTGCAGCTGCAGGCGGGGAGCCAGACACCCACACGAGTTTGTGAACAGCAGTTAGATGCCCTCTTTGTTCTCGCAGCCCCAACGGAGGTTTTACCAGACCAAAGACTGTTTAAAAAATAAATAAAATAAGACGCCTCACCATCTCTGAAAGAAATATTTGACTCTGTTTACTCAGGCTTAATGCGCCTTTAGAAATGAGAGCCCTTCAGCAGATGGTGTTCATCTGACCCTTAAATGAAAAAATAAATTCATTTTGTTTGTTCTGATCTGAAACATGGTTCAAAGCCACGAGGAATGTGTATGATCCAAATGCATGGCAGTTTGGTTAGCTAGCGCTGTTGTTTTGTAGCAGAACAGGTTCAACTTCTCCCCATGCCTGTGTGGGTTTTCTCTGGACACTCCTGTTTCGTCCCACAAACCATAAAAGCTGCAGGTTAATGTATCTTGTTTGGCTGTGACTGTTCTCAGAATTGTGTGACAAATTAAAAGAACAYATTCTAATTTTCTGTTGCACTCAGACTGATTTCTGTGTTTGTTTTTTTCTGTGAAGCTTTCTTTGGGATTAATGAGTCAGTCTCTGGGGTTGTAGAGTCTTGTTAGATAATTCATGTAAGTGTTTTAGGTACTTTATATTCTCCTCTCTTCGCCCTCTCATGAGACCCTCTTGTTCTTTGAGGCAGACGTCACGTTTATCCACTGCAGCATTTGTTTSAATGGAATTTGTTGTGTTCTGCAGTAATTCTGGCCAAGTACGGGATGGATGGGAAGAGAGACACGAGGGCGCTGGAGAGCAACTCGCTGAAAGACCACGAAACCAGAGATGGAGACCAATTTGATGACCCCAGACTGGACAAGCTCTGGAACAAGGTTGTGGGATGRTTTTATTCTCTTAAACTACAACTGYTAAGTGAATTAAAGCTGTTWTTTGTCCAGTGGKTCATATTTTGGTAACAGAAACRTGGACACAGACGGGCAAAAACATGATCATCCTCATTTTCTTTTGATGATGGATAAAGGATTAGCAATCTTCAGATTTATCTTTACATCACATTTACTGCACAGTTGTGGGCTACAGAAACATTTTGAAGAGCTGGTGCTTTAAATAATTTATCTGATGTTCCCTGAGGCGCACATTGTTTAATGGTGGAAAAGAGGGGAAAAAATAAATATAAGAGAAACTCTAATGTTATGAGCAATCCCTGCCCATTTGTGTGTCTGGGGGGGTTTAAATGTTCTTCTCTTTAAATGCAGTTATTTAAATCTCTACTCGGCTGCAAATGAAATACTTCTAACTTTGAATAGAATAAAATATAGATGCATTAATAAATGCTGCAGGCTGAGGAAACGCTGCTGCAGATGAATGTGTTTTAATGGTGGTTAACGTTGTCACCACACTGCAGGAAGCTCACCAGTTAAATCCTGATTATTGCCTTTTAGTGCTGAGTTTGTTCTCCTGGTGCCTGCGTGGGTTTTCTCCAAGCACGAAGACATTATAGGATTATAAACTGGTTGTGGTTATTTGTATGCACTTTTTTGTTTTGTTTTTGTGCGTTAGCCTKATGATTAACTGGCATCCTGTTCAGAGTGTAACTCCCACCACTCTGAACAGGAAAGAAGCAAAATGGTTGCAGTCAGAACTTTTGATTTTACAAAAAAGAGGCTGCAGCCTACCTAGACCAGGGCCTGCGTAGACCACACCCTACGCAGTCCAGGTTGGCTGCATAAAATGGCTGTGAAATGAGACGTCGAGGCTGTGTTCAGATTTAGAGGCTGGGTCCTCCGGAGGTGGAATTTGTCGGCTGCTCACAGCACCGCACCAGAGGTTGTCCAGATCCCAAGACTCCTCCGATGCWGCTGACAAATGGGTCCTCCTCTTTCCCCGATTTGAAGGACGSTTCCAATGGATCCTTCTCGGCCCACCGTATACCCATAATGCATTGCAAGCCGACTGGAGGTTTTTTTTTCTGCTCGTAATGGCAAGCAAAGCGAGAGAAAGAAATACTGTTTCAAATAATTATCTGGTGGGATAAAATTTTAAAGYTTCAAGCRGTTGTGTTGTTAATGCTTTTGTCATGTTTTTAAATATCATCCTGGTCAGAAATCAAACAAGCTAGTAGAGAGAAATGAACATACGAGTTCCTTAGTTCTTCAAATATTGCCTTTAAGCTAATTTTGTTGTTTTGTGATATTTATAATACTAATATATTGATATTTTGATAATTTCAGACAGAAATTAAGGACGGGAGGCTAGACCGTCCAAATTCACAGCCACTTTTTTCCAGTCTTTGTGGTCTACCAAGGTCCYRGYCCACCTAGACCAGGTAGGCCAGGTCCTTCAATGGACCCAGCCTCTGAATTTGGACACAGCCCTCGGTCTTTGGATGATGTGTTTTACATTTTAGATCACGTGCCTTTAGACTTAAAATGTGTTGTGAGATGTATTCATGTGTCTTTTTCACTGGAGGAATATCTTTACAGTTTAAAACCTTACACGTAAATACCTAAAAAACATTAGTAATTTGGACTTAGCTCCAGTATCAGTACTTGCAGTTGGCATTTTTATTTTTTTTACATCATTGCAGCATAAATTTCATCAGCCAAGTTGCCAGAAATACATTTAAAARCCAATCATTCAGATCGCAATGAATTTCCAAGCTCTGCCAAATTGGTTAAAAAAAAGTCTGGCATCTTTGTTTTCCTGTTTAGTTTGCTGATGGCGATATCTTAGGATCTACTCGGTGGTCCACATTTGTTGGCTGCATGAGAAAGAGCCCACGAATTCAGATGCAGGGYAGTGATCTAAGTGGCTGACATGTGGACTTGGAAGGATGTGGCCCCTGAATTGAGACAGCCAATGCATTGTGAAATTAAAAATACCTAATATATGTTATAAATATATGTTGTAATATATGTTGCTTCTTTACAAAATCAAGAAWACCATGTTTCCAAACAGCTGAACTGGTTTGTGACATTATTTAGGCTAGTCATGATTTAAACCTCAAAGGAACACCAAATAACCTAGAGGTTTGGTTTAAAAAAAAACACATTTATATTTACTAACCAAGGATTTGATAAAGTCTCTTAGAGGATGACTGTTCTGTAACGTTTTCAAAATTGTTCAAACACAAAACCTTTGTTCTGATCGTGTCAAGGCTAACTCCTCTTCCACCAACAGGCCCAGAACTCAGGGAAGTTCAGCCCTGAGGAGCTGCAGAGTCTGAAAAGGGAGTTCCAGCACCACAAGGAAAAAATCCACGAGTACAACATCCTTATGGACACTGTCAGCCGAACCGAGGGTAAATCTCTTTTTTTTAACTACACCACCTGTTCTGTTATCATCTAAGGCAGAGGTCTTCARTCCTGGTCCTCGAGGGTCACTATCTGCCTTCTGTTGATGTCCATACCAAACCCTGAGCAGCTATAAAGGACCCCATATTGTGATTTCMCCCTGGCTGGATCGACATGCTAACATATTCATTGTTCGACACGTTTATGTTCACATCTTTGAATCACATCTGATTTTCTTTTTTTGATCGTTKCCCAAATGAAAAAGTGAGACTAAAGTGAACTGTTTTTCAGGATGAGGCTTGGATGTGTGAGGAGCTTTATTTGTTCAGACATGTGGTCAGGTACGTGGGTGGCAGGCAGGAGGCAGACAGCTCGCAGGATCTCCTGCTGCTCTTTGCTCTGTTCATGCTCATCGCTTCACAGGACTGACAGCCTCCTCTTTTCATAAAGACTCGGAGAAGATGAGCACAACTCTCTCAGATACCAACACTTTACAGTGTTTTTTTGTGCCAAATCTTTTTTTATTATTTATTTTTTATTTATTATTAGCACGTCGCATCACAACACTGCTACAGAACGAGCCAGGGGTATTTTTTTCTGCTTGTCTGGTGCATTTAAATGTTCAGCCAATCACATGTTGCCTTCAGGGGAGTCTGTGTTTACCTTCACAGAACCCCCACCTACCCTCAGCTTATTGTTTGTTTTCTCCATTYGATCCAAATGTCAGCTGATATTCAGGCAGTCTGTTTGGCCTTTTGTTGAGTTYTTCTTCCTCACTTTTCTGTTAAGATGAACAGAAATCTCATAACTTSCTGGTATTACCCACTGAGTCTGGACTTATAAACTGCTTATGGTTCTTATGGAGGAACGGACTTATTATATGAATATAAAGTGGATCGGTTTCGGGTTATTTTATGCTTCCCACCAAAACGCCTGTGGTTAAATGGTTGTTTGCTCTCTTCTTTTCTATTCCTTTATTTATTGCTCCCCACTGAAAGAAGGTGGAGCAATAATGGTTTTGTGTGTGTTTCCCATGAAATTAATGAATTAATTTCCTGGACTCGCCTCCTCTCATCTCTCTCTCCCATTTAAGCCACCCACCCACCCGCTGAACCCCCCGTGGGCTCCTCTCATCCTCATCCTCTCCTTGTCTCGCCCACTCAACAGAAATCCCTAAGAATGTGATCTCCCCCCTGGAGGGCGATGCCAAAGAGCACGTGCTGCAGCAGAAGCACACCGAGCTGAAGGAGAAAATGAGAAACCTCAACCACGGCTTCGAGCGCCTCCGCAAAATCAGCCACGAGGGCTTCAATGAAGACAGTGGTGAGGGGGGCTAAAACACACACTCCTCTCCTCATCGCCTCACACACACACACACACACACACACACACACACACACACACACACACACACACACGCCTGGAATTATAGTAACACGCTGCTGGCTCAGGATTGGCAGGTTGATGTGCTGACAGTGTTACGCAGGTGCTTTGTGTTTTTCATTTAAATTGAATCAATGTGTAAATTGGAGTGGATATTTCAGGTATTTTACAGGAGGTTATTTAAAGGAGCTCTCAGAGCTGCATTCAAGTGTTGACGTAAATCAGTTTGTCCTTGTGCTTCAGCGTTCCTCTATTTCTTTTTCTTTTTTTCTTGTTTGTAGTTTTTTATTCATCCACTCCTCACTTATTCATCCGTTTGTGGTTGAGATGAAGTTTCAGTGGGCGATGACGCTTCTGATGCTGTCTCACTGCTAATTTCCTCTTTTATATAATGTTACTTGTTTTTTGTCTCCATCGTCCGTCAGTCTGTCCATCTATCTGTCCATTACTAACTCAGACAGCTGTAACTTTCACATAGAAAGGCTAAAAGACACCAAACTTGGGATTAGTCATGCCCGACCATACCATGTGGTCATAAGACATCATCAAAGCCCCGCCCCCTGACAACAGGAAGTGACTTTTTTAGGCTTGGAAAGCTTCATCTCTGACCCAGTTGACCTAATCAGCTACAAATATTGTCAGAAAAAAATAATAAGTTGATCTCAATTGCTTTCAAGCACAAATACTTTTGTAGTACACTGATTTTAATTATACTACACATAGTATAGTTTTATGATAAGAACTGTAATGACTGTTGAATGTGATTTTTGATGAACTTAATGATTCTATATTAATAGTTACATGCCTGGTAACAAATACAACACATAGTTGTACTTTTAAAATCATTAGGATAGGTGTTTGTTTGTGGGCATGGCTTTGACCAAAATGATAGGGACCCCATCCCGACTGATGACATAATTAATATAGGCAGAGTCATGCCCTGAAGCTTATTATAAAACTCTTGTTATTTCCTGATTCGGTCTGATTTCCTGGTACCATTAAACCGGACATCAGCGGAGCGCTCTTGGTTTTGTATGGCCGTTCTTTAAGTCTTTCTCAGTGCAACTGCGAAGTTCCAGCGGTGAGCCGACAGCACGCCACTCTTTTCTTCAGTGCTGCGGCAAAATCAGACAACAACACATCGTTGATGTACGTGTAGCTCTAAATTCCAAATGTTTCAGCTAATATGCATGCACCCAATTCACTATGGCTGATCCTAATCCACCCCACTACAGGAGTGCAGTACAATTTTTGGAGAAGGTGGCCTAACTTGTTAAGCGATGGAAACTATACCGCTGTTCACAGGAAACTTTTTGAGTCAGTGTTCAAAACGCTGCCATTCCACTGATCCAGTTTAGTCCAGTTGTTGGTTCAGTCACAAACAGCACAACAGGTTCCTGAACGCTACAAGGCCAATGTACAATGTAAACAAAACAAAAACAGAATTTTTATGGTAATCTGAGCGCAAATTACTTTCAAATAAACTGCGACTCGTGCTCCACTACCTTGGTTAGTCAAAGCTTATCGTTTCCTGTGTTTGACAGGAAGTCCTTCCCATAACCTCTACAGTAGCAGCCCCAGGGTTAAGGTGGATACAAAATTAAGAGTGGGGGTTCCATCTCTTACCAGGGAGGGAGCACTGTTAGACCTTTTATGTTTTGTTAGTTTTGCATGGAGTTTAGTCCTTCATTTGAAATCTTTTAATGTACAGAACAACTGATCAGCCAGTGTCTCTTTATGACGGAGTCAGCTTCTCCTCTCTTGGGTTTTGTTGTGGCTCCAAACCGTCTCTCCTCTTCTGTCTGGCTCTGTAGAGTTTCGGGAGCCTCGAGTGATTGAACTTTGGGAGGCAGCCAAGAGATCCAACCTCAGCTCAGATGAGCTGGACTCTCTTAAGGTGAGCTTTGCTTCATGTTTTGACTTGTTTCAAAAAAAGAGTTTTTGTTGAGTTCGTGTCACAGAAGTGTTTGAATTCAAGTGATTCTCTTTTCATCCATTTCTCCCTCGAGCAGACGAATGCAGCTTTTTTTAAGTTTATCTTAGTTGGAGATCAGATGAATCCCTCAGACATTTCTTCTCTGTTTGCTGCCTGAAGTGTATTTCAGCTCCTCTGTGGAGCTGTTCGTGCAACTGAAGGTGAACTTAAACAACTCTGTTTGCTTCTGTCCTTCCTTTGTTGCTTTAGGAGGAGCTGCATCACTTTGAGACCAAGGTGGAGAAGCACAACCATTACCAGGAGCAGCTGGAGCTGTCTCACCAGAAGCTGCGACATGTGGAGTCTTTAGGAGATGAGGAGCACATCAAGAGGAACCAGGAGAAGTACAACACACTCTCTGAGAAGACCAGGGAAATGGGCTACAAGGTGAGATGAGAACCATCTGTAGTTTCATTTTATTGTTGTCGTTATGAGAATCCTGGCAAAACATGAACTGTTAGGTTTAATTCTTCACATTAAATAAAAACAGATTGTTTTTAAGATCATCACATCCATGTATGAGTTGTTAATCACTAAATTTCAAATAGAATTGGAGGTGTTACAGCCTGTGAGTCATGATTCATCACAAACAGCTCTTTTTTTCAAAGATTTATGAAAGGAAAGTTCTGTTAAATACACCAATCAGCCATAATTTTTTTTAGTTTATTTCAAACGTGTAGAAAACAAAGTAAAACAAAAATAT